GACTAAAACAAAATGGAAGGCACTGCATACTCAGGGTTTTGATCTAGCGGGGCCTTGGAAATTCCGCAACGGAGCCCAGCAGCACCAGATCATGGATATTTTATCGGGCTCAGATGCAAGCGACATACGTGAGTCAATTCCGTATAATACTGTATTGGAGAACCCCTGTACAGGACACAATCGCATATAAGACTGTGTCCAAGTATCTTTCTTTGCCTATTTTAAAATTGGTGAAGTTTCTAATCAGGACACTTACAGTTGGATACTGGACACATGCTTCATCTCATTACTTTTATTGCGAGTAAAATCCCTCGTTCATAAAATGCTGCAATATTTGCTGTCAGATGTGCGTACTTAAACAGTGTACTGGATTTTTACGAGGCGCGAACTTACCGGGGCTGTACTGTTTTACTAATCCAAATTCTGAATTAACTCGCCGATTTTCATACTAGTACTGGATTTTGGAAATTCTTCCACAAACATACACACACATGCATAATGTAAACGCTACCCAGAAAAGTCATAGACATTTTTTATATTGTGTAAATAAAAACGTCGAAGAAGGATGTCCACGAGATGCGAGGAGATCTGCAAGCTGCCTGTGTGTTTTCGCTCTGGTTTATATGGAGCATTTTTGATTTTGATTCGAACGCAAGCGATACGATACACTCCTATGCCGATGAAGCTAGCTGCATTCCTCTCCATCGCCGCGATTGCTATAATGTCGACGACGACTGCCACGCCTACTCAAAGGAACATGATTTTTGTATCCGGATACACGGAGGCTCCATGCGCCGACACTCCGTGCCTTCCGGAGCATGCTCCAGTGTGTGGATCGAATGGCGTCACGTACGAGAATGAGTGCGAGTTGGACCAGGCCAATTGCAACAACGCTGGCCTGAACGTGACTCAAGTGAGCTATGGCGCGTGCCCCTGCGGTATCCAGAATGAATGAGGTCGCGATCGCGTAATTGACATGGAAAGGGGTTAGCTCCGAACCAATACACGAACCACTCCCCAAAAAAAAATTTTTTTCAATCAGCTACTTAAAATAATGTAAACTTCAGCACTCGATTAAAAAAAGCGATGAAGACAACGTTCTATTGCTTGCTCTCGTCCTCAAAGTTAGTTGTCCAAAAGTCTTTGAGCTACCAACGCAATATGCGCATTGTCAGTAAAGATCACAGACCACGTACTTTTAATCTCCCTACAACCACTGCCTTCTTTTCTTCAAGTCGTCGGAAGTAGCCTGCGGGGCTATTACGCTGTCTTGTGGGCGACGGTAGTATCTCAAGTCTCCAGTACGTCGTGAATGGATGCTAGACCTGCGCAGAATACACAATCCCAGACGAAGGAAGCTCTGCTGGTCAAATCGAACAGTGTGCCGTGTACATTGCACCGTTGTGTAATCCTGAAATCTGTGAAACACCCGATGGTGTCAACTCGAAAGTCGTCGTCTTTTCAAGCGTTTTCCTGCCACGATAGCAAACCCTACACTACTTCAGGGAGGCCCTGGCGTATCGCCCACTGACTGTGAGTTTTTTTACGGGAGTTTTGGGAGTTCTGAAATCAATACGGATGTCTTTCTATTTCATCGCAGTGGAGGAATCAATGGGCCATCGACGATGGTGACACTGCACGAGTTGAAAGAAGCCGTGAGCGTATACACGACGGCCCATCAAGGTACAGGACGCAGCACAAAATTGAAGTGAGTCGCATCGCAGAGTACTACTACAGGATCTCCTTGGAGCCATTCGTTTGACACGTCGGAGGCGCCTGGATGTGCCAATGACTTACATGGAGTCGGTACAATTGTGTATGGTGCCAGCTATTAATACGATACAATTTTGGTGTAAAGGCGCATGCAGCTAGATCCTCCAAACGGGATTGGATATGTACTCGATACTATCGAGTCGATAGTGTCGGTGCAACCGCTGGGACATCTGATAAGGAGTTCGCCTACGTGTCGAGATCTGGCATTACCTATGGCGAAGTCCGCGATGCTTTCTTAGCGCTTTGTGAGAGTGACAGCAGCTGCAAATCTTACTTTCAAGTCAACAATACGCTTCAAGGTTTAATCGAGAAGTTTGACATCGACCCAAACTCCACCAGTCCAATGTTAATGGGAAAAATCGGCAGAATCGCGGTGTCATTCAGTCTGCGATCTGTACTGGCAAGTGATCCGTACATCCGAACCTTAATTCCGCCTCTTGTTTACCGCCTCTATCGATGTAGACGTAGACGTTCTGTCCCAATACTTTACAATCCTCACTGCGAATACTAATCCGCTAAACCGCAAGACGCTGTATTTGAATCGACGCTACCCCAGAGTATCATTGTCTTCTCTGAGATGATGCACTACCATCTTTGTCTGAGATGAAGGCTCGATTTACAAATGCTAAAATAGCTACTGGAGGGATTCCTACTTGGTTCAGTCAACATACTCTGCCTTCACGAAAGAGAAGTCTCCATCGTGTGACGAGACTAATGTTGGTAGTTTTGACTCGAGCGGCATCATAGATCAGTACTGGGACAAAACAGCAAACCAAGCAAGCATTTTGCTGCTAAGTGGAAAGCTGGACCTTCAGACACCCAACAAATACGCCGACGCCTTTTGGAAAAATCTTGACCGCGATAGGAAAGAATTAATAGCCTTCGAATACGCAACACACGGTGCTCTCAAGACGACTAAAATGGCTGCTGATGATCTGGAGAGTGAAACTTGTGAAATGAAAGTACTAGCATCGTATGTACGCGCTGGTGGAGATCTCGAGGGTTTGGATAAATCCTGTGTGGCTTAGATGCCAGCATTTGATCTGTCCCCGCCAGATGCCTATTTGTACAGCTACTTTGGTACAGACGATACCTTCGATGGCGTGTACAACTCGAGCTTAGCTCAATACTAGCATGATATTCTAGATTTGTAGATGATCACCGAAGCATCTTCAAATTCCGATACCTACTGTAAAGGTAAGTTTTACATAATATGGCATAAGCGTAAACTGTTCCATAACAAAGTGTAGGTTTTCCAGAATCTATCGAGTATTACAACGAAACATCGTGAGTTTTTATTTATGAAGAATTCACCAATCCTCCAGCTGTAAACTTTCTGTTTCTTGACTTCAAAATTCTGAACACACGTCGTTAACCATGGAAGCCCATACCCAAGAAGCTCACGGATAGTACACAATTTTACCTTGAGCTGGCGTTATATACTCTCCTTTGGCGGATATCATGCAGAATAATACGCAGCTCACCAAGTCCAAAAATAATCGTTTCTGCTCTTCAAGGGCAATGACGGGTCCTCCAGGCCGAATCATTCGGACTCAGATGAGCTAGTGCTTCCCTGTGAGGCCAGTACCTCATTTAAAAGTATTGACCTGAGCGCGATCGCGAATTCGCGCGAATCCTCGTCGGCCTTGTTCTGCAATAATCGATGAAATTTATCGGCGACTACACCTTGTCCGGACTGTGGAGTGTCCAGCAACATGGGTGTCTGCCGCATGCACACTTCCACGCACGATGATTGTCCATCCGCTGACGAGCGTAGAATGCACACGCCTGCTTCGATAGAGCGCATCCCGCTAAATCCACCTTCACCTTCAGAGTTAATCTTCCAGGTGTACACCACTCGGTTCGTCTCTACAAAGCGCCGTCCGACATACCGCTGAAGCAGTGACATCGCCTTTCCAGACTATCGAACGGTCTTTTTGATCTTTTCGGCAAAAAAATCGAATTTCGGTTCAAAATGTTTTTTTGCGGTTTTTTTTGTGGTTTTTTTGTCAACGTTGCCATTTCACCATGGTCCTTCGGAACGAAAGGCAAATTTAAGACCTGCTGAAGCTAAAACCAGCGTTGAGACTTACCGCTGGGAGCGTTAAGACTCGCTCGAGTCTTAAGCGCGCTACATTTGAGATAAAACCGCCTTTACGACCAACCGCTGGAGATGCTCTTACGATCGCTGCTTTCTTCAAATCAATTGCGGTCACGATTTGTGCCTTCTGTGGAGGTGAGTTAGATTTTTAAAACGTGACCTGCCTCAAACTTCGTGGCACGAAAGATTTCGCTGATGTGACGATTCAAAGCAAATCTTCAGTGAAGGTAAATTACATCTGTACTCGAAAGCTTAAAAAGGTTAATTTCGTCAGACTGACTGCCACACCTTATTAAATCGTCTGTGTGTACGCGTTTGAATGTATCGCAGTTTCTGACCGAATACACACCAAATATTATGTTGCGTTTGTATTAGCCCACGAATTGCCCGCTATCGCTCAAGCGTCTTTCTTCTTCTTTTATTCGATCAGCTTGAGCCAGCTCCTTTGCTTTTTTTTTCGAAAGTCTTCGCGCGCGTCCTTGGCTCGCAGTCTCTGCTCGCTTTGACGAATCGGCTCTTTCTCACGACGGACTATAGTTCATTGTATTTTTACTGTGTGCATTAATACCTTACAGGGAATCTATTAGCCATGAACCATTGAACAGCGACGGATGCTGCAGCTCGAAACATGGTAGTGACACTGCTTTAGGAAACTTTAATTTGATCGGCAGCGACAAGAGCCGCAGTCTGAGCAACAGAAATTCAAACACTATATATTTCTAATCTTCGCGTCACGCAAGATACTAAGAGAATAACTGCGGTGCTGTACGAGATGGAACAAATCTCTATATATCATCTTAATAAAACGTGTTTTTTACTTGAAGCCATGAGAGCTGCACAGTCCATCGGATTTAGCCGGTTTAGTGCACTCCAAGTGCGAGCATCGCTTGCCTCCGCCGTGTTCGAAGCACCTGCCACCCGACCGGACAGTCTTCACACAGTTAGGGAACGTACAAGCTCTGGATCCTCCGTGCGTCGTGCATAAACCTTGATACTGAGCGCTCTTAGTGCAGCCAGATTGGGAGCATCGCTTGCCTCCGTGGGTTACACACAGTCCTTGTGACTGAGCGATCTTGGAGCAGCCCATGTGGATGCACAGCGCCCGCTTGCGCGTCCTGACAGGTCTATCTGCCGACTTTTCACTGTCCGTCGTCTCCACAGAGTCCCGTTCAGAGCTGTTCTCCTCCGTCTTGACTCTGTACGTATCTAGAGACCACCCTCCAAGCAGAAGTGACATCATGGACCCACCACTTTGACTCGGCATAACCGAAGCGGTCGATGGCGTATGCTCCAGCTTGATGACGTTCTCATCTCCTGACCACGTCGGAGCGTCACTCTGTGACATTGATCCATTGATTTTTGTCTCCTGCGATCGAACAGTCGACGTCTTAGCTGCTGTGGGCATCACAGACGCCGCCGACATCACAGGCGGCAGGTTCATAACGTTAGGGTCTTTTGGCCAAGCCGGATTGTCTCTATGTAGCATGGATCCGTCGCTTTGAGTCTCCTGAGATACAGAACTCGACGTGACTATTGCAGCTGGATCTGTCGAGAACTTGGTGTCACTTACGGTCCAAGTCGACGTGTCATTATAAGGTATCGGAGTCGAGTCGTGGTGTCCTACACTCTGAGACGTGATAGCTCCAGGAGAGACCTTGTCATCCGGTATAGGTCCTGTATACAGAGCAGGAGTATGCACGCCGTCGCCCTCTATATCCTGTGGCCACTCGTTCAACAGCAGCGACATCATGGACATTCCACTCGAACTCGATAGTGCCGCTTTGTCCTGCTTGACTGATGGTCTCTTCGTGCCTGATGGTTTGCGTCTCCCTCCTCCGTGGTCTCCACACAAACCCTTGGACGTCACCGTCTTGCTGCAGTCTAGATACGTGCACACTCGACGTCCACCGTGCGCCACACACAGGCCTTTGTATTGCGCCTGCTTCTCGCAGCCTGACTGATTGCACTGACCTAACGATCCCGTGTGAGTTCTGCAGCGTCCGCTCGACTGCGCCTTGTTACTGCAGCCTGCAGTCGAGCAGCGCTCGCCGCCCACGCCCCGCCCGCGACCTCGTCCGCCTTGGCCCATCCAGCTATGACACACAAGAGCTAAAGCTTCTGGTTCTCGTTCTAATAAAAGACTGTCGACAGATTCGAAAATTAGCCGCTATAGAAGTGTAGCTCAAAATAAGAGCAGGTCGTCTTCGCTGTCTTATGAAATATTTCGCCGATTTTATTAAAAAAAAACTAGCTATTAATATATTGAAATTCATGCGACGTAATTTTGGAATATGTCTACTACAAGTCGCGACGCAAGACGCCTCCGAAGCTCGCTACTTCATGTGCTGCAATTGACACAACCTCCAGCGTAGAGGAAGAACTCGGCGGGAAAGTCCTTTGTCGATGGAGTCCTAAGACCGAAGGGCCAGAGCTGTTGGTGATGCAGGGAGATCTTACTTGTTGCAAGGCCGACGCCATCGTCAACGCCGCAAATACTCGTTTGATGCTTGGAGGGGGCCTGGCTGGAGCTATTGTACGTAGTGGGGGCTCGTCCATTCAGCAAGAGAGCAGCAAATGGGTCAAAGACCACGGACCATTGACAGCCGGAGACGCCGTTACTACTGCGGCTGGCAAACTTCCCTGCCAGCATGTGATCCACACTGTAGGACCCAATGTGGGGAGCGAGACTTTGACGTCGGAGCATGCGACACAGCTCCGTCATGCAGTGTGGAGTGCGTTACTGGAGGCAGACCGACTGGAAGTGAAATCTGTGGCGGTCCCTGGGATATCAACAGGAATATTCGGATACCCGAGAGATTTGGGGGCTAAGGAGATTGTAACGGAAGCAGCTAAATTCTGCAAGGAGAAAGCGGGCTCGACAGCGTTGAAGAGGATTGCGTTGATGAATATTGATGACCCGACGGTGAAGAGCTTCGTGAAGGCGGTGACCGATGAGATGGAGGAGAGTGGGAAGAGACATAAGGATCTTAGCGAGGCGCTAGCGGGACTCAAAATTCGCGAGTAAGAAAGAAATGGCTGAGTATTATCGTATTGTCGTTGTATCTGTTTCGAGTCGAGGAGGAAAACACGTACTACCTTCTAGCTCTTTGCCGGTATTCCTAAAACTCCGCGATGATAAGTCCAGAGGATTGCTGCCAGAGGTTCCGAAAATGTTATTTTTATTGAGACTGGCAAAACAGCAATAAAAATAATTTTAAGTGCTTGGAGCACCACGGGTGCAAAACTTATTGGTGTTATTGCATGCAATATACAGTGGGCTGATACTCGTCTAGTTGGTGGGAGCCTCACCACGCACAACCTTCCGGACTGTGGCAGCGTTCCAGTAGGCTCAGTTCAGCGACCAACCATCAAAATGAGAGGACAAGAGCGCGGCAGATCGATCGTAGATTGCGGATTAGCTGGACCGCTGGTCCGTAGGGCTCCATCAGCCCGGTTAAAGGTTATTGCCTGGAGAGACCGCAGAATAAATTATTTGATTTTGAAATGGGAGCTCGAAAATAAATTATTTTACTGCAAAATAAATATATATATAATTAATAAAAATAACATTTTCGGAACTCCAGCAATTTGCTGGAGTTAAAAATATCTATGCAAATTCCGGATAATCCAAAAATAAATTTCCGTGTGTATATTTCGAGATGCTAACTCCAGTGGACCGTCGATTAGCTCCATAACCTCAAATATGATAAAACCTACATTTCTCTAAAAATCACTCTTATGGACTTTTTGTTGCTGTTGTGCATATGGAAGATGGGCCACGTAAAATTCTTTTTATCAGTCACGAAGGGTTAGGCACTGTGGGCGCTTTCGTCTTTAAAAGTCTCATGTCCACCTTTTTACAACTAACATGGTTGCGGCCGTAATCATGGATCATCGATCTCAGGCCCATGTTTTAGGCTTCTGAAGAGCTTAATGTGCTTTTGGTGGTGAAGGAAGTTGGAACAAAAGAAAGTGAGAGCCTGCCAGCCAGCACACTAATACCGTAACCCCGATAAGTTTGACTCTATTGCAGCTGATAGAAAAAAAGTTCTGTATTATTGAAATCATGAAATATAATTTCATGTTGCAGTACCTGCATGGAGTCAGACACTGTGCCATGTACAATTGTCGGTGTGAGCACGGCCAACAGCAACTCGGTTAGCACAAAGATTATGAGCCTAAAGCTTGCGTGAGATCCTCCATGATAAGATAATTTGTACGAAATCTGATGTTCACTAACAAATCAATTATGTACGTGTACTGAATAGTCCGTATGTTCGATGAGATAATTCTGTCTTGACCAAGATAATTTACTACAATTATAAGTACACGACTAAAAAAATAGCGGTGGAGATGACCTTGAGGGCTACTCGAATTTAAATTATTAAGAAATGTCTATCTTTGAGCTATTAGAGGGCCAATTGTTTTTGAAAATACAGTTAGTTGACTGCGTTTTTGGAGCGCCGTCCTTACAATAAAAAATGCAGAGTTTTGGCACATATTCAATCGACTTGAGTACATTGAACTCTCCAAAAAGCGTAATTGTATATGAACCAGAGTCTGGTTCAGTTTTGTTTAAGCTAAAAATTACAGCGACATCATAATCTCCGTGGGAATTCGCAGTTTTCATTGACCTTGGTCGCCGCTGATACAGTAAATCTAAAGAGTATTCTTACGTACAGACGCTACTGTCTGCAACTGCTCACTGACTGCCTTTCCAGTTTTCTTCTTTTGGACGCTTTTTCGCCCTTCTCACCAATATTGTCTGCTAACACTTCTGTATGCAGACAGCTGCGATCATGACTCTCTATTGGCAGATAAAGCAGCGTGCAAGACTTTAGAGATTAAAGGCTGTGAAAGACGATTCGTACGGAGGTCTTAATTCACCGAAGCTGTGCGTCCGTTTTTATTTTCAAAATTGTATGGGAAATGATATTGACATGTGAGCCGGAATTTACGGGTTTTCTGCAACCGGTGTAAGAAGTACCTTCAAGTTAAAACCGTAAAAACGTAAAATCTCTCACAAGATACTCCTGTCCATTTGAACCGTCGCTTTGCTTACAATATTGTAAGAGAAGGCGCGCTTCAGCTGGGACACTGTTTTGATGCCAAACTCCTTGTTCACCAATTACGAGGCCGTAGTAAGAGCTTCGAACGCACGCGATCCTTGCGTTATCAGAAAAAAGATAATGTGAACGCGATTGAGCCATAGACCAATCGATTTTTGCGTGAGAGCGACGTTCGCGACGACAACGGAGACGAAGAAAGGAGTATTAAATCCCTTCTCAAATACATCGGATTGAAGCGCATTGACTTTAGCATCGCACAACAGGAGGCAGATTTCAATGCAGCAATCAAGCTATTTAGACTATAGAAAAATTACGACCACGACAAAAAATTCAGGGAGATGTATCCCGTGGGAAGCGTAAAGAACTTTCCGATTTGTACAATTAATATAAGGAGCAAAAAGCTGCGAGCTAAAATTGTGAAGGCGTCTCGCGGGATTACGAACCATTCTGAAGACGGAAGAGCGAATTTGATTCATGGGACGTTCAAATACCAAGGTAAGGAAAGACCCATAACGTAGCAAAACGTGAGATATGACGCGCTAGAGACCGATAGCTCAGCAAATGGAGCACACTTGAGTGGGGAGGAGCTGATTGCGTTTGAGTTTTGAGGTTTTTATTTCCACCCTCATTCTTCAAACTGTAAAGATTGACCATGTTGTTTAGAAGTCTCAAAATTTGAAAACAATTTAAAATCGGCTTTTCATTTGTACCGGTATTATACTAGTACCCCCGATTTGTAAAATACTGTTTTTATTTTGCATTTTGTAATTTTATGTGGTCCACCCCAAACACGCACCAAGTCCGTCGCAAATGGCAAAAGATGATCGGGGACTTCGAGTACCTGCAGCAGCGCGTGGCGCTCCGTGTGGATGTCATGCGGCGCCACGTCGCGGAGGTGGCCGAGGTGGTGCTGGCTCCCCGAGCCGCTGAGCTGCGCGTCCTGCGGCTGCACGCGCGGCAACTCAAGGTGAAGAGCGTGCGCATTAACGACGTCGAGGCCAACTTCGAGCAACTTAACTTCCTAGACGAGATCGTGGACGAAAACTACCGCGACTTGGCTACATTCGACCTGTTCTACCGTGGCGCTATCGTCGCCTCAAAGGAGGGCGAGCTGCGATCATCGAAATCCCGAGAGACGTCACGTTCCTATAATAGAAGACGAGGAGGACGACGAGGACTCGAGCAACTTAAAGAGATCAACAAGTGGAAAAAGACGACGACGACGACGAAGAGACAGAAGTTGGTACTCATAAAGAACAAAAGCTGGTACTCGATGCCTGGGACGTCGATCGCCTGCCCAAGAGCTCCACAGGCTTCAAGCCTGTATTAGTTCGGGTCGAATACGAGCTCGACGAGCCCACCGGCGGCCTGCGGTTCGTCCTGCCGGACGAGCAGTACCAACCCAAGCGAAGTCCACACATGTACACTTATTGTGGGCCATTTGGTGGTCTCTGTGACGGTGCACGGTCGTGGATGCCCTGTCGGGACACACTGCGAGACGCCTGTACCTTTAGGATCGAGCTTACAGTGCCCGACTGGTGTGTGGCAGTATGTAGTGGACAGATGGTGCAACAGCTTCTCAACCCTGAGACAGACGCCGACGGAGGACAGTGGAGGACGTTCCGATACGTCGTGAACCCACAGACCAACTGCTCGTCGATTGGCTTCGCTGTGGGACCTTTCCGACTCTTTGTCCCGCCAGAAATGCCCCGGATGACGCACTTTGCGCTGCCCGAATGCTTCGAAGACCTCGTGCACTGCACGTCCAAGTTGGCTTCGACTATGTCGTACTTTGAAGGGACATTGGGGGCGTCGTACCCGTTCAAGACGTACCAGCAGGTGTTTGTGGAAGATCTGCCCGATCAGCTGCAATACGTCGCTGGAGGAGCCATTCTGGACCAGAATCTGCTGCATGGGCCTCGGACTATTGATCGAGAGCTGCCGTCGCACTTGGCGCAAGTGAAGGCGCTGGTCGGCAGCTGGATTGGCGGCGCCGTGGGCATTCAGAGCACGAAAGACGCGTGGGTGTTGATTGGAGTCATCGGCCATTTAGTCAACACGTACGTGCGGTCTATTTACGGGGAAGAAGAGTACGGCTACCGTATCCAACTGGCTATGGACGCACTGACGACGATGGAGCTGACGACAGATCAGCAGTCTCCGGCCTTGCTGTCGTCGGAGGTGGATGTGTACTCGGAGTACGACCCGTTGTCGTTGACGCTGCTGGACGTCAAGGCGCCGCTGGTGGTGCATATGATTGAGCAGCGTGTAGGACCCAAACATTTAGGCATTGCGATCCAGCGTGCCGTGTCTGGAGGCGCTGGAGCAGCTGCGAGTAGTGCTGCCAATGGCGGCGACTGTGGCGACAATAAGGAGGAAGAGAGTGGGAAGCAGACGGAAGACAAGAAGAGTGCAGACGAAGAACAAGACGCCAATGTCGAGTCTGCCAACGCGTCAGGCAAGCCAGCTAATGGAGCGACGGCAACGGAGCCGCTGACGACGCTGTCGTTTCTCAAGACTGTCAAGACGATCGCTGGAGCGGCAGGTCAAGACCTGACCAAGTCGTTCCTTACGTCGTGGATTATTGAGCCTGGTATGCCCTTCTTTACCGTCGGATACTGGTACAACCGGAAGCAGACACAAGCCGAAGTGGCGCTGCAACAGGAGATCCCTCCAGGGGGCAAGCTCTACACTGGGCCAATCACCATCACCATCGTCGAGGACACGAGCGAGTACACGTACCAGAAGCGCATCGAGCACAAGCGCCACAAATTCGACTTCCCGTGTCACTCGAAAGTCCGCAAGAAGCGACGAAGGCGTCAGGGACTCGCCGACCCGGACGACTCGGTGTCTGTGGGAGGCCCGGGCATGGGACTGAACGACACTCCCGTCTTCTGGGTCAAGATCGACACGGGCTGTGCGTGGCTACGACACGTGGTGATGCACCAGCCAGACTTTAACTGGATGGAGCAGCTGCTGTCCGACAAGAAGGTGGGCTCGCGTGTGCATGCAGCTCGAGCGCTCGCGCTGTTCCATCGCCCGCACGAGAAGCCGAACGTCATGTCGTGTCGAGTTCTAACCGAGTGTATGAGTGGACTGACGACCCACTCGCGACGTCTACGCGCCGAGGCAGCGCAGTCTCTGGGCATCTGGCAGTCGATCCACGCGCCGCTCACGAACGCCAACACGCAGCTGCCTATCTGGAAGGCCATGCACAACCTGGTGCGTATTTTCAAGGAGCATTTCTTCGACCGCGCGACGGATATGCCTCTGCCCAACTACTTTTTGCCTTCCGGTGGCAAAGTGATCCTCGAGGCGCTGGGCGCGCAGCAGGCGTCGATCTCCAGCAAGCAGATCCAAGTGCAGGACTATGCCGAGGGCGAGTATGAAATCAAAAAGAGTATTCCTAAGGCGCTCGCGATGGTGCGCGCAGAACGGCAAGTCGCCCGCGGAGATCGAGACGTTTCTGCTGCAGCTGCTGACGGAGAACGACAACTCGAAGAACTATGTGGAGATGGACGACCAATCGCAGGTGGCCGACGACTGCTACTACCTCGGCAACATCGTCTTGTCGCTCTCGGTCTTGACGCTGGATCGACCTGCTCGCTCGGACGACGGCGACGCGGTGGTGCTCGAGATTCTGCGGTATCTGCACTACGACCAAGTGCAGCCGAGCTACAACAAGACGATCACGGTGTGCTGTCTCGAGGCTTTGTGCAACTTGGTGCTGGCTGGACGGTGCGACGAGAAGCTCGTGCACTTCCACGTGTTCGCGTCGCCCAAGCACTCGAATCTCGTGCGTAAAGCGGCGATCGAGAGCATCCTCCGCTTGTATTTCGCTGAAGACCCCAACGGTCCGAGTGCTGGAGACAGCAGTGTGTCGTCGATGGGCATGAACTACGCGGTCAGCTCGAGCTCCCAGCAGCAATCGAGTCGGAGAGGAGCCACGTCGCTGCTGACCAACAGTTATGGAGCCACGGCTGCGATGCTGTGGCTCTGCGAGCTGCTGAAGGCGGAACAGTCTCCTGGTATCCGCTTGTTTGCTGTCCAAGTGTGTCTGAACTGCATGCGTGGGTTCCCTCCAAGTGTGGGGAAGGAGGTGCTGGCGACGTGGGACCACAGCTACACTCTGGGGCTGATGAACTACATCGAGATGAAGGAGCCGACGGCGTTCGTACTGAAGAGTCCGGAGAAAGATAAGGTCTTGGGGCTCTTTGATCGCCCCAACTTGAGTAAACTGCGGGACGACAGCAGCTCGGCGAAGCGGATTGCGGAAAACCTGTGGAACTTGATGAACGCGACGGCAGCCATGGACCAGAGGCTGCGTGTGGCGCTCATTGTGCTGTATCGGAAGTTCTGGGGTGAGACGACGCCGATCGCTGTGGCTCATATTGTTCAGGACAAGCCTGCGAACTGGGCGGGGGGCTACGAGAGTCTGCGGTTGATGATGGAGGAGAGCAAGAACCGCATGCTCATGAACGGCGGACGGGCTGGCACCAACACGGACGCTAACGGACTCGGTAGGAAGTCGGACGACGATCGGAAACGAGGCTTCTCGTCGACGGCAAGCAGCCCAGCCGACGCAGCTCTGGAACAATTTCGCGGCAAGAAATTTAAGTTCAAAATGGGCGATACAACCTTCCGATCCCACAAGCTCTAAGCAGATATATTAACACTTGACCTGCACAATAAATGTGGGATAAACCCATTTCAACAACCTGTATTTGATCTCATGGTTTTAATTCGACGAGCTGGCCACTTTTAAAAGCCTAACCTTGACTCGAAATAGCTGCTAAGCTATGTCCCGACCCGCCTTTTATCTCTACACTAAACACGCTGGATGGTACGTCAAAGTTCCATGAAAATGACAAACGTCGTTTCTGCTCAAGAAGAAGGAGTCGAGAGGCAGATTGTCCCTCTCGGTATCTGGCACAGAAGCGCAATTCACAGCTCCTCGCACCAAACGTGCGCATTAATTTACGAGAAAGTCCGGGCGAAGACTAATCTTACTGCCATATTCTTCCATGTAGGTCGGCTGGTCAATGTCAAACTGCAGTTTCCTCTGGTCGTGGAAAACAACGATTTCGTCTTTGACATCTCTTAAAGTGCGTAAAGAAAATATTCACACCAGCGTCATCATCGACATTTATTGCAATACAGCCACCTGATACAGATTCCAGTCGAATGTTTCTAATGCATCTGATCGTTGCAAGCAGTGGGGGGGGGAGGGGTGAAGCGTCAAGTCACACTGAAACACCCTCGAAGGGACAAGCTTGACCGTAATGTTATGCATATAATCTAGCATGGTTGCACCAGGCAGTATGTCGGACAGTGTGGCTGCCGAGTGTCCCAGTACCCTCAATGCATTGATTATTACTGCATAAAAGCAAGCACCGAACATCCCCCACGACTGCCATGGCTGCACATCGAACACTGTACTACCCACGAGATCAGCCAACTCCTTCAGCTACATTGCGAAATATTTCTCAGCTTCAGTTACCATCTCACCCTGGTTCGATCTTATTTACTGGAGCAACGCATACGGGACTCGAACAGCGCAAACATTTGGAGTTAGCAAGCAGCGAGAAGAATCTTCAGGATTTGCCCATTCGGCGTCATCGTTGAAAGACAAAAACACTTTTTCACAGAGGAAAAACTGCAAAATTACAGAGAGAGCGTCATTTTCACAGAACACATAGAGCGGGATCTATTCTTCACGCATTCCACATGGTAACATGCAAAAGTGATCCAACCCTATGTTGTTAAAAAAATGCAATTATATATTAAGAGCCATTAGAGCCAAAACTTAAAAGTGCAATAAATACTTACATGATACTACCCGCTTGCATAGCTCATTGTTCTAATGTTTTGTGCAGCCCATTATCATTATCACAATCGCATACTAGCCAAGCCGCCCAAATCCGCCGACAGATATGCATTTCCTTTCGTTTAAGCCACGCTGCTACTAGTGCCGGCAGGGCTCTCCCCAAGGAGAGCTCCGTTTTCTCCTATTGTAATATTTCAAAATGAAATTTTCATAGTTTGTGATTTGACCAGTGTGCGTCACACAAGATTTGCTCACGACTCAAAATGGCAAATAACAGGGTCACGCCCCCGTTTTCGACGACATTTACACGATGTATGTAAAAACAAATTACTAGCCATTTGTATGTAAACGCAAGAATGCCCCCGTTCCCTCCCTGCCACGCGTTCAGCCAGCACGCTTACTCCCTCACTTTGCAAAGTATTCGCACCGCACCAGACTCTGCCAGCCTCCCTCCGTATCATGACTAGCGCAACCAGCCATCACTATGCTCTCCACAACGTGGAGCACTTCACCTTCACCTCAATCATTGAGGCGACGAGCGACGAGGTTGGGGCTGTAGCGTGGTGGCAACAAGCAGGACTTCTAGAAAGCGCTATGTATTGTCCAGGCTGCCAGCGCCCGATGCGTTTAAAAGTCTCCGGGAAGACGAAACACTGGCGGTGCTGCCGCAAGAAATGCCACGATGACGAAAGGGAGGTAAGTTTGAGTATATTAACTAATACTTGGTTTTCTGGGATGAAACTGTCGCTAGGCTGCCGCAATCGGCTACTGTATGCATGGTGCATGCGTGCATCGCACGCACACGCGGCGGAGATAGCGGACGTGTCGAAGACTCGTGGTACTTCCCACGGAAGGCTACCACCGCACAGGTAATGTGTGGCTTAGTACAGGTCACGGGACATAACAACACAAAAAAATTGTATTGAAATTTCATTTTGAAATATTACAATAGGAGAAATCGGAGCTCTCCTTGGGGAGAGCCGCCGGCAGAATTGCACGAGCTTAAGTAAATCTGCTGGCAGATATGCGCTTGCTTTCATTCAGAACACACCAATTACTATTAATTCTACTGGTATAATTGCATCACTGAAAGAAATCTGGTGGAAGCTGTGTACTTGCATTCATTTAAGCCATGCTGTTAAATCTGCCGGCAGAATTGCAATACACGTGTCCGTAGCAAATCTGCCGGCGGATACGCGCTTGCTTTTATTCATGCCATAATATGATATGTTTTTGGCTTGAATGCTTTTTTGTTGCTGGGCGTTGACGACCGACATAGCTGCAGTGAAATCAAAGCAGGCAAACTAACTCTGCTGACGAATAGGCGCGGTTTGGCTAGTCATGCTATTAAATCTGCCAGCGTAATTGTTTTTTTTTTTGCCTACGCGATCAGTTCTGCCGGCAAGTTAAGACTATAGCTTCGTATCAATGCTGCATATTTCCCCTTGTGCTTGTGGTCAATGTGGCGATGGCTTTCGTCTCCTCCGTTGGTAGGCATTCGTTGTCTCGCACGCACCTTTAGCCACTGTAGCACTGTTGTCCTGCTGTTATCCGTGCGCTCATGGTGACACTCATACACAGTATTAATTTTTGGGTATGTTTGTTTCAGTTTTTTTAGCTTTTTTTTCTTAAAGGAAACGTGCTTACACTTAAGAGGAAGTACTGATATTTATTTTAAAGCAAATCCGATAAGACAGCTGAATTCCTCGGTCTGTGAAATGGTAACACGCTCTGTGAAATGACCGTTTTCGTCTGTGATTTTAACGCGCTCTCTTCAGCAACCAGCGATTGATCGGAAATGTCTCAAAGATGTGAATCCATGTGGCTGCACACTCGTGGAGCTCGAACAGCAGCGTGCAAGAAGCGAAACACACAGGTGGGCCAAGGCTTGGCCCAAGCAGATAGTGCTCAAAGAGCCTCACTGTCAACTCCACTCTCTTCAGTTGGCGAAGAAGACGACACAGGCTGTGTCGTCGTGGATTTGTGGAATGCGTCGACAGTAGCTAGTGCCGAAGACGAGGTTCGCGAATAAGCGTATTAACTCTCTTGATAAGCATAAAGAAACATGGTAAATAACGAACTGGTCATTTTATGAGTCATTCTGCTATACTAATCGTAAAGTAAAAATAGAGCAAAACCTCCGTATACATCGCAGCCACCATCCAAAGAAAGACCGACCCGTTCCGATACCATAACTTGAGCTGCACGAAGGCGGGTTTGAACTCAGGGCAGGTGCTTAGGTGGGTCGAGCCTAAACAACTGCGCCAAATTCTCTGAGCCCATAGTGGTCACAGTCAGAATAATATAAATAACTAAAATTAATTACTACTGATATATGTTTATTGCAATGCTTTTTATGGAATCGGATCGAGCAAGTCGCAGATGTGGGACACACTGATTGATGTTCGGCAGTCGCTAAGCAGAAGCCGATGGCGAAGCAGTCTCTGCGGATGACACGACCAGGACGCAGAGGACGCAACCAAGGACGTGGACTACGTGCTTGCCATCACAGATATCATCGAGCTGATCGAGTCTCTGAATGTTGACTTCGCTTCACTTGAGCTCGCAACGCTGACACCGGAGGAGGTTTATGCTGAGTGGTGTGTCTGGAGACGGCTCAAGTGTCTTAGGCAGTAGTCAGAATACCAGTTCACGTGGCCATCTTGAGCACATTTTCCGTTATGCTGCAAAGGAATATTTCAACGTGGAAGTGAATGGACCACTTGAGTACGTTGTGGGTCGCAATCCGGACTTTCGTGAAGTCTCGCTGGTTGTAGAAGGCAAAGAAGTGCAAAAGTTCGCTGTCGCGTACGGGTTCCGCAACATCCAGTCGATCATGACGAAGATCAGGAGAAACCGGTGTCCGTATCACTACGTCGAGATCATGGCATGTCCAAGTGAATGTCTGAATGGTGGCGGCCAGATCCGACCAAAGTCGACGGTGTTGGCTTCGGAATTGCTTGACAATGTCACGAGCCACTTCCAGGAGCTGTGTAGCCTCGGTGTAACCCTCGTGATCGACTCGACATGCAGTGAAGACTTTGCA